ATCAGCAGCAGCAGCAGCAGCATCAGCATCAGCATCATCACCATTGTTATCCTTCCTGCCCTTCTGCCTAGCGCCCTCTGCTGCGTTCCTTCGAGTTCAGTGGTCGGTTGAAACCTCTGGTGCAAATCCATACATTTCCCCAGCAAGTAAGCTCCTCTTGCTCCTCCTACACCTCTCTCGTCCTCGACCTCCACTCCCCTGCCCCGTTCACCTAGTTAGCCACCCTCTCATTTCCCCTGCTCCCCCGCTCCGCTCCCCCCCTCACCTCGCCTCCTCCCTTCCTTCTCCCATCCCCCCCTCCCTCCTCCGCCCTCTACTTCCTTTCTCACCTCCGCCCCTCCCCCAAAGCCCGCCTCCCCCCCTTCGTCCTCCCCTTCCCTCGTCCGTTTCCCCCTCCTCGTCGTCCTCCTCCTCATCCTCAGCCTCCTCTTCCTCACCTCCTTGGCTTTCTTTTTGTTGGCCCAGGCTTTGCGATGTTGAGAGTGACGCACGCGCTCTCTGTGCTGCCTCTGTGTCGTACCTCAGTTCGCATGCCTCACAATGGACTCGCCTTGCACTTGATTGAATTGGTGTTGCTATCTGTGCTGGCTGACGATGAACCGTTATCGGGCTCCGAGTTCTGAGTTCCCTCTCCTCCTCGCCATTCATTTCCTTTTCCTACTCCATCCCTTTCTCCCCCCATTGCTCCCACTTGCCCTCATTGCCCCTGCAGCAGCTCCATGTCCTCGTCATATGCCTCAGCAGCCCCCCCTTCCTGCTTGTCCTCCTCTTCCTCCTCCTCCACCAGCTCTCCCTCCGCCTCCATTTCCTCGTCATCCAACCTCTCTTGACCCCAAACTTGCCACTCACCTCGTCCCCAAGCACTTCCCATTAGTCATCCTCGCCATCTTCCTCTTGTATCGGCCACCGCGCTTGCAGCAGCTAATGTGTGAAGGGCCTGTGCTAGCTTGTCAGTTTTACTTCGCCCGAAGCAATGTCCAGGAGTCCCGAGGCACCGAGCCCAACGTACCTTCGTTTGTTGGAGCAACTCCCTTGGCTTCTTGCTGCATCCAAACAGAAGGATGGTGGCACGGTCGGAATTTCAAGTGGGAGTTCCCATGGCATGTGCCCCCTGCACGCCGCGCGCCCCCCGCTCACCCCCCCTCGCCGCCCCCCCCCCCTTCCTCCCCAGCTCATCCCCCCATCGCCCTTGTGCTCGCCCGCGAGCTCCTGATGCTCCTCCTCCTCGTCCTTTCCTCCTCCTCCTCCTCCTCTTCTTGTCCATGTTCATTGCATTTGCCATATTCGGTTTCCCTGCAGGGAAAGATTACTGCATCGTCTTCATACTTCGCCATGGTCCTCTTGCCACCCCACTGCTACTCTGCAACGCATTCAAATTCTCGTGCTGCCACCGAATGCTCCGCAACCCTCAACTATCAACAGCGATCGATGGAAACCGATGGTTGCAAACAGCCGAAACCTTGCTGCAAGGACTGCAGAATAGGGGGCGAAGGGGCTTCTGCCAACAGGGAACAAAGTTCACACACACACACACACGCACACACACACACACACACACGCACAAACACTGATTTCCCACCATGTGCACCCAATCTGCAGCCAGTGAAAATTTTGAGCCCATCCCTGGCATTGCGTGTGTGGGTTCGACTTGCTCCTCTATTTCCAATTCACCGCCTGAACTCGTTCACTCTTCAACGCGATTCGCACGGGCTTCCTGCGCCAGCACTGCGCCGAGGCGGCGCGAATCTGCCGTACAGCGGATTCCTACATTGACAACGTGGGCCTTGGCTTCTGACACCGCGTGACCGGCTCGAGATCGAGCAATGTCCAATTCTGGCGGCCTGCCGATGCTATCAACCCATCTTTCGTGAAGATCTCGCCCCATGGCCAGAATCGGCCTCCCAGAAGACGTTCAGGCCTAATCCGTTCAGGATCGGTCCCGGGACCCTCCCAGTCCGCATCCTGACCAACTTTTCGAGACGCGTCCTGCCGCTGGTCACGAGGGGGTCGCCCGACATTCCCGGAGCCGAGGCCCAACGCTTGGCCTCGAGGCGTCGCCGCCGCGTCCAGGCGGTGGTCCCCGGAGGCCAGCACGGGCCACATACCTGGATCCCCGCTCCTCGCCGTGCACTCGATCCTCGATCGAGGAAGACGCCACCTGTACACCACCCCGGTCCTCGCCAGGCCCATGCTGGTCCAGAATCTGTGAGAAACCGCCCGTGCCTGGCTACGAAGACACACACGTACGCAGACCCTCGGCCCTGGATGCGAAAAGCTCGAAATTCATCCCTGGACACGGAGTCCTGACCCGACTTTGGAAGCGGATCCAGCAGTGGCGACGAGATGCCTCCAGGAGGCTCAAGAAGGACGAGAAACGCCTGGAAGGGCCGCCACTGTGTTGACTCTGGCCCTCCTCCGAAGGATGGGCCGGCTGGCACCTTCGTGGTGCGCAGCTGGCGTCCCGCTGGCGCCCCGCCCGTCCTGATGAGACGCATCGCTCTGGTGGCGCACGGGTGCTCCGCGAGCCGCAGGTCGGCGCGGAGCTCGTTCATGAGCTCCAGGCTGCTCGCCCAGAAACCAGCCTGGGCCCCCCCTTCGCTCCCCTCGGGGATTTTTTCAGCGCCACGTGGGAGGAAGGCGGGCCCGCTTCCCTTTGTATGTTTCAGCTCCGCGCCTGCGGTCTCGTCCTACTCGGGAGGAGAAGGGCGAGGACGGTCCTACAGCAAGGTTGCCTGCTGACTCCCCGCTTCAAGGCAGGCAACCGCCAGTCGTTTGCGAACTTTCTTCGAAGATTTATGATCGATGCCAGGGGATCGAGGGATCGAGGATCTGGGGCGTTGTTTCTCCTGCTGGAGCGCCCTCGTGGCAAGGGCTGGATTCCCCTCGAAACTCGGACCTGAGGCCCCTGATCCCAAGCACGAAGAGACCATGAGACGTCCGGGCGGTCGATCTGAACCCCCTGAGCCCAGGCATCCAACGTCTCGACACATCAAGGCGGAGGTATTCTGTTATCTTCGGCCTCCAGGGCCGCTCTCGGGCCCTGCAGGACCGCCCTCGTCCTTGTCGTCGTCGTCCTCCCCCCTGCTCTTCGAAGGAGGTGGGGCTGCTCGCACAGAAGCCAGACTAGCCGTCAAGCCTAGCCCACTCTTCATTCCCCTTTGCATCGTCGTCATCATCTCCTTCCTCCTTGTCCTGTTCTTCCTGTTCTCCCCCTCCCCTCGATGGAAACTGCTAGCCCAGAAACCATCCGGGCCTCCAGACCAGACTGCGTATGCTGGTTTCCTCTTGGCTGGCGGCCTGCGGTGCCATAGGGTAGCACAGGTGGAGGTAGAACTTGAGACTTGGGAGAGGAGGCCGCTGCCACCGTCCCAATGGCACGTTGAGGCGTTCGTCTGGGAGGGTTTCTGTGGCTCTCCAGTGGCCACGGGGTTCCCCAGCACCCGTCCAGAAACTCGCCAACCCACGCTGTGTGCTCGGCGCTCTGCACGGCCCCAGGGCGGCTCGAGACCGCCCCAAAGCGGCTGCAAGATGCTCAAGCCGAAGATGCTGCAAGACTGCCCAGGACGCGCTCAACGGTTCCAAGAAGCCCCGAAAAGGCCCCCAATGGCCCAGAGGGTCATCGAAAGCCGGACACACTGAAACACATGTTTACCACTGTTGGCTGGTTCCCGCGCGGTTCTGCCCATTCTGCCCATTCTGGCGAGCGGACTCAAGACTCAAGACAGCCCCAGAAAGAAGGCCCAACGACAACCCGAAATTATCGAGAACCCGAAGTGAACCCAAACGGCCCACGACAAGCCGAGATGATCCCAGCTTAGGATTCCCAAGCCAGCCGAAGAGAGCCAAACGCCGTAAAGACGGCACAGTACCGCCCCAAATAAGCGCCGAAGGTACAGCAAACCAGCCTCGAGATTGCTCTCCTGAGTCTCTTCGGAGAGATCGGTAGAACCGCCTCGCCCAAGACGGCCCCAAGACATTCAGCAGGCCCACAGAGCCCTCCCAGAAGCCTCAAAGAGGCCTTCTGTTTCGCCGCTACCAGTGTCCGGCCCAAACTCAACCCTCCCCCTTCGGCGGCGGGGCCCCAACACGATGTTGTCAGCGGGGGACGTTGCAAAAGTGGCTCGTCAGGCGACGGGGCCCCAGCACAACGATTCCCAGGGTGCGTCTCGTTGCCTCGCGCAGCGAAGACGTTTCCACGCAGTCTGGATGTCATCCCAGGGAAGTTCGACTTCGGTGGAACCCTTTCCTTTGAGGAGGCATTGGCCGGCATCGCCATCTCGACTTCCAACCCGAAAGTTTCGACTTCGGTCGACACTGCTTTTTCCAGGAAGGTCCAAGCGAAAATCACACTTTCGACTTTACGGGTTACCCACTTCAAAATCTTACATGCAGAACGGGTTGTCCGAATCGAAAAGCCAATTCCGCTTGAGACGTCCTAGAAAAACAGGTTCGGCCGAAGTCGAAAATTTCGGGATTGAAATCGAAATGGGGATTCAATCGCATACTTCCTCCAAACCAGGAGTCGACACCCATTCGGTTCGAAGTCGAAATGGCGATGTCCCAAAATACTTCCTCCAAAACAGAAATGGAAGCCCAATCGCTTCAAAGTCGAAATGGCGATTTGCCCTTCATTCCTTTGACTTGTGTCGTCGTTCAGGGTGGCACGGAAGTCCTGGAGCGCGACGGGACTATAAACTTGGCAGCAAACCACATACGCCAGACTAAACTCACAGCCCAAAGCAGAGACACTCTCACCAGCCTGGCAGCCACTGTCATGATCATGGGCGTCGCGGTGTTCATGCGTCTTGCTGCTCGCAAGCTGTGGCGCTCAATAGCCGCGCGAACCCTGCCTACCATTGGAGCGTTCGTTCGGCATTGTGCTTGGTAGAGCCACTAAACGAATAACGAACTTCGTAGCGGCGATGTAGACGACCCCACGAGGCCCCAGAGAGGCTCAAGAACCCCACCGCAATACAGAACCATCGTGATACAACCCTCTTGGGGAGAGCTCAGTATAACCACACAGCGTACATCTCCGTGCTTAGCTGGCAGGCAGGCGGGGTTTGCCGCAAGCACCTGGATGTCTGGAACAACAGGAACAGGGTGATGGCGTCAAAGGGTGCATTTCGCTGACAACTCGCTCTTCGGAGTCAGCACCTGACCGCCCGCGCAGCCCTAGTAAGGTCTGGGCACTTCCCGTAGCCACGCGACCAACGGCCGAGGAGCGGTGGCACTTGGCGCGGCACGGCGGCCTCCCTAGCGCGTGCCCTCTGAAATCGCACGCGCGCCGTGGCCGCTAGGCGAAACGAGCAGCCCTGGGGCAGACAGAGCAGGACTTCCACGTGAGCCTTTATACCCAGAGGCAGAGGTCTCGGCACAATGCGAACCGTGCAAAAATTGAGAAACAACTTTGCACGCCCTCCAGGGATCACAAAACGGGCCACGAGCCGCCCTCCTCACCGGCGCTTCACCCTCTGCGCCCTCATCTTGAAGTCGGGGCGGTCGCCCGACACCTTCCGGAAATCAAGCAGCTCGCGGCGTGTGAACCGCGGCCCGGGCGCTGCCACCGGCTCGGCACCACTGTCCACCACCGCGGGCGCGTGCTCCTCGGCCTGGGGAGTCTTCGGCGCCAGGGCACCCCAGGCCCCTGACAGGGTCAGGATGACGGAGCGAGGGCTGTCGCGCTCCAGTCCGCTGGGCGGCGGCTGCAAGCCCCCGAAAGGCAGCACGGGCACTGCAGCGGCTGCCAGCGGCGCGCCGCCCGCCCCGACGGGCGTTGTGGGCAGCACCCCCGCGGCACAGGGGCCACTGGGGAAGGGCCAGCCGGGCTGCAGTGTGCCGTAGGGCGAGGCGGGCCAGCCCCAGGGCCCCGCCAGCGGGGCGGCCGAGCCGCCGCAGGCGGACGAGGGCGTGGGGGTCCAGAAGGGCAGCTCCTCCGCGCTCGCCGGCGCCGCCTTGGGCTCGGAGGCCCCAAGCAGCGCTTCCAGCGTCACTGGCTTTCCGCCTGCGCCAGTGGGCGTCGCCAGGATGGGCTTCGGCACGTCTGGCTTGCCCGCGCCCTCCTCATCATCCACACTGCCAAGCGTCCCAGCGGCCAAGGCGGGTGGGCGCTTGGCAGGGGTCGCCGGAGCTGCCGCGTCCCCCGCACCTGTGGATGCTACTGCTGATGCTTATCATTTGACCCCTTAGCACAGCATGCTGCCACCGACCACGAACCCCAAACTCACACCATATGCTAACTAGAACCACGTGCGCGTTTCGCAAGCGCGTAGGTTCTAGTCGATCCAATGCTGACCGCAGTGAAGGCAAAAAGGCGGTCATGAATAATGTGGTCCACATTCCCTGTTTCCTCCTGCCTCTGCCTCATCCCTCCTCCTCCACTCTTTTCGACCGGTCGACCGGTGATCGGTCGCCAAGCTATGGGCCAGGAACAATGCAGCGCTACGGCGCCATGTTGCACTATGCTATGGAATGCCATGATACTTCATGCTACGCTGTAGAGCGCTACGTCACTATGCAGTATGCAATGCAGTAGCACGATCTACTCTACAGTGCGCATTGCATGCTATGTCATGCTGTGCCGTGACATGCTATGATAATATACGCGATGGTACGCTGAACCATAGCATGCGATGCTTCCTATGAAGAGGGAGGCGCCCACGTTACATGGTATGTACAGACATAGCATGCCAGGCCATGCAATGCAATGCAATGCTATGCCATGTTCTGAGCTGCTAGACCAAAACAAGCAGGACGACTATATGAGCTACCGCGGTGTTATCATCTTTGCATGATAGCTGCTTACACTTGCGCAGATCAGTACGGTGTTGTTCGATTCATTTATATGCATTGTAATGCCGTTGGTACGCCACGATGCGTCATGATCTGCAATACAATGCTAGGCAATGTTACGTCCTGACGTGCAGTGCTAGGATCAGCTATGCACAATACTATGACGTTCAATGTTATGGCATGCGGGACAATATGGTGGTTTGCACTGGCATGCTTAGATCTGTCGTGTTGTGCCGTGACATGTCATGTCATGCAACGCTGCAATGCCACGATAGGCTAGGCAGTCCTGTGTTATGCACCGCTGTGCTTCGAGGTACATTATTAAGATTGTGTTCGCATTGCAGTGCGTCTCGCGGAAACACAGACCCATGCCTGCAGCAATGTGCTACCAATGACTGGGTTCGCGCAGGGAGAAGTTAGTTATCCCTTCACCCTCGAGGATTACAGCGGTGAAGCCACGCCGTCAGAACATGCTGGCGACAACGCACCACCACCATGAGAGCCGTCGAAACCACATGCTGGATTCATAAGTGCTGTCGCCACCGCATAGCTGCGGCTTTACCACGACCATCACAATGTGTCAATCGCGTGGCTGAGGCAATTTCTCTACGACGCAAACGCGCATGCAAAATGATAAACACTCGACAATAGATATCTCAGGAAGAGCTCATCATCCTGGATGATTGTTGACGGACTCGGGGCCCTGGGAGGCCCCTGGAAGCCGGCAGCGGCGAACAAACTCAAGACTCGTTTCCCTCATGACCCGCTTGCTCCATGGCGAGAGACGCTCGTCCTTAACATCGAGCCCTGGACCTCTCCCGGATTGCACTCCGATCGGGTCGGACTAAAGGTGGGGGTAGTAAAGGGGAGTTAGCGAATCAGCTCACGGAGCTAGTTTTCAAGGCGCCTCCCAGCTTGGGGGGTGCGTCAGCTTATTGAGGAAAGCACCCGGCGGCGTGGCCGAAACCAGCTGCACGCAGTCCCCATCCCTAAGAGGACGCCAGGACAGGGACAACTTCGGATCGGGATAAATCGGAGATATCTGAAATCGATCGGGTCTAGAGAATGGATGTATCGGGCGGCGCGGTCGCTCCGAAGCGCTCCAGGACGCTTTGAGAACTTCTAGAACGCTCTGGAACAATGTATCACGCTGTTCCAGAGCCACGTGAGCCGTCTTGGAGCGTCGGAAGCCCGCGAAGGCGAGAACGCCACAACAATCATGCCAAAACCATGGGAACATCAGTGTTCTCACAGCTTGGGTCTTTCTTGGGAGGCTCTTGGAGCCCTCGTGGGGCCTCTTGGGAGCCTCCTGGAGGTTCAGGGCGGCTCTTGGGAGCCTGCTGGCGGTCTCGGGGGTAATCTTGGGGCGGAAGGCTCGAAATGTCACTCAAACTGTCTGGGGAGCCTCGTGGGCCGTATTTGGACCCTCTTGGGTCGCCTGGGCGCCCTCTTGGGGGCTTCTTCGGCCGTCTTGAAGAATACATGGTGGCCTTTTGGGGCGTCTTGGTGCGTCGGAAGCCCGACAAGGCGAGACCACCCAACTCATTCGAACATATAATGATTATAACTCACTAGGTCTGTCTTGGCGGGGCTCTTGGAGCCCTCGTGGGGCTTCTTGGGAACAAAAACAAATGAACAAATACAGCTTTCCTCCCCTAGAGTCGCCTCAGGGTCACCTCGGGAGGCTTCTTGGGCCCTTTCTTGGACCTCTCTTGGGACTCTTGAGGCGCTCTGGGAGCACCTTGGGGCGGAACCCTCCAAGGTGATCGTTCGTGCTTCCTCTCTTTGGCTCTTCTTGGGGCCGTCAGGGGGCCCTCTTGAGCCGTCTTGGTCTCCTCTCGGGCCACCTCGAGGCCCTCCAGGGCCTTCTTTGGGACGTGCTGTGGTGGTTTACGGCGCTTCTTGGGCCGTCTCTGGCCCGTCGAGAGATCATGGGAAAGCCGATGCAACGAAAACCTACAAACAAACAATGGAAAATTAACAAATTTCGCCTCCTGAGCTCGTGTCGCGGTGACCTGGTGAGGCCTCTTGCACCGTCTCCTGGGCCTCTTGGGACCATCTGGGAGCATCTTGGGACAATATGTTCGCATTTGGCTCTTCTTGGGGCCCTCTTGGAGCCCTCTTGGGGCCCTCTTGGGCCCTGGGGCCCCACATTTGTGGTCGGGGACCCAGCCCCGGGCCCCCCGGGCCTGGTGCGATCGACGAATTCCGATTCGACGATGTCGATCTGGACGGCCTGGCATAATCGGCTCTTGGGTCCGCCCAAGACGGCCTGGGGGGGAGAGGGAGTAGGAAGGAGAGGGACCGGGGCAGAAGCAGGACCTGTGATGGGCCCCCAGATAGAACGTTGGGAGCGTATACCGATACAGCCTGAAACAATGCACCGCAAACTAGCTAGTCACTCGCAGAGCTGCAACCAGACTTGCCACCCCCCCCAGCTGCGGAAACGCCTTCTGCACGCCCCGCGGCTGCTGCGGGCGCCGTGGGGCCCTGGCCTGCCAGGTCTATCGCGGCCTCCGGTGCGCTCTCGGCTGGGCGCTCCGCGGCTGGCGAGGGGGGCGCCGCGCCAGGAGCCGGTGCTCCCCCCGCCCGTTCCACGGCGGCCTGCACGGAGGGAGCCTCCGGGGGCGGCGGCGGGGGCTCCGTGGAGCGCAGGCCGCACAGCTGCGGAGGCCCTGCGGGCGGCGCGCTTGGAGACATGGGCGTCATGGGCGGCGCGCTTGGCGACATGGGCGTCATGGCCGCCGAAGGCGGTCCGAGCACCAAGGGGGTCGTGGGCATCAGCTCGCCCATCACTGGCGAGTGGGGCAGCGTGGCCCCAGCAAGCATCATGCCAGGGGATAACAGGCCGCCCGCAGGCGTTAGCAAGCTGCCTGCTGCGCTGCTGGGGGTGGGCGCCTCGGAGCCGGTGCCGCGCTTCTTCTTCTTCTTCAGGCGCTTCCGCTTCTCGTGGTCGAAATGGCAAAACTGACAGTCGTGGCCGTTCGTGCAGCGCCCCTTCGGGAAGAAGCAGCAGCGCTTGCACTCACCCTTGTCGTGGTCGACCGAGCCCACTGACGGCAGGCCATCGGGACCCAGCTCCGCCACGGGGAAGATCTCGTCGCCCTCCTCGCTGGAGCTCTCGTCCAGCTGCTGCAGCTCCGGCGGCGGCGCCTTCTGCTTCGGCGACCTTGCCGCAGGCGGCGCTGCCGCAGGCGGCGCAGCCGCAAGCGCCGCCGCGGCGAGCGCACCAGCACCCTCGCGGGCAGCCTCCAGATCTTCTGGAGCCGCGGTAGGCGCCACCGCGGCGGGCGCGCCCAAACCCTCGCGGGCCCCCTCCCGAACGTCCGGAGCCGCCGCAGTCTCCTCTGGCACGGCCCCAGGCGACGCAGGGCCCTCCACGGAGCCGCTGCTCGCAGGCTCGTGCGTCGCCGCCTCGGCGCTCGTCGCTGGCGGTCGCGTGCTCTTCTGCTCTGCCCTCGGCGGCGGTCGCGCGCCGAGCGCGCCAGCCATGCAGGGGCATGACTGGCCCATGGCACCGCGCGTGGGGTACGCTCGCAGCCCCTCAGGGCACACGCACGGAGGGTCCCTGTCGAGCCGCTCGCGTCCGGATGCCCAGACCTCCGGTGACTCGGGAAAACTGATCATCTCTGTGTGACCCCTAGCAGTGAGTCTTTGCACGGTGCATGCGAAAACTACGTGGTGCAACATATGCCTTGCTATGTGGTGCAAGTTAAGTAGCACCCCGCAGTTACGGGGTCGTCGGCAGTCTGTGCGTTAAAACATCCTAGATGGGGTCCGGGCACATGGGGTCGGAAGATCGCGCCGCATCGCCGATACATCGGCGATGCATGGTCGATGCATCGGCGATGCAACGGCGATGCGTCGTCGATCGGCGACAACGACGTGAAGCAAATCGGGCTCCGCATCGAGCCGCATCGCCGAAGTATCGGCGATGCGGCGCGATCCTCCGGCCCCATCTCCGACCCCATCTAGGAGGCTCCGAGCGAGGCTCTGAAGAAGCCCGCCACAGGGACCACTATTTTACTAATTGCACAACGAGCCCGCCGCAGGCGTCGACTTCTCGTCAAAGCAATGTGGGTGGGTCGAGGGGTTGGTCGCGGGGTTGGTCGCTGGGCGGGTCGCGGGGTGGGTCGCGGGCGGGCCGAGGGCGAGGACGACAACAACAACAACAACAATAATCACAGTGACACCGTTATGCCCGCGTGTCACTGAACACGTATATCCCGAACCCTCGATGCCCGTCCCTTTCGTCTTCGATCCTACCCCCCTTGGGGGTACATCTTCTTTACCTGCCACGTGTAGTTGGCGCAGCCCCTAACATAGGGAAGGGAGGAAGGAGGGAATGGACGAGGTGTGGGACAGCATGGAGCACGAGAGAGATTTAGCAGGACGGCATTGGGAACAGGAGTACGAGCGGCAGAACCAAACGGGCGGGTCGGGCGGGCGGCTCCTAATGAGCGTGCCGGGCGGGCGGGCCCAGACGGCCGGGTCGACCGGGCGGGTCGTTGAAGCGTCGATCGAACATGAATCGCGACGACGTTTCGAGCGATAGCGCGATTCCCAAGTAAATCGCGTATTCCTGAGTGTCGAAAGCAAGGAGTCTCAATACATTGCAAGGAAATGCCGCGCGAGAGCGCGATTCCCTGCTAAATCCCACCAAACTTCTGGGCGTAGGTCGTTTTCCCTGCCATCTTCCTTCGTCCCTTTCTGGGAAGTGTTTATCACTGCCACTTATTTAATTAGCCTGGCGAAGGACCCAACCATATGCAGTTGTGAATACCGCAATTGTGATTACCATCTTCGCCCGCGCTCCCTATGTGGCCACGGCTTCCCGCCGGAGCCCGACATGCTCAGGGACATGTTCGTGGCCGTCTTCGCGGGCGCCGACGACGACAAGGACGGCGTCCCTCTCATCGAGGAGCAGAAGCAGGAGAGGGCCTTGAGAGCCATGATGGAGGAGGTGGCGTTGCACGTCGACCAGGCGGAGTACGACGCCCAGGCGCGGTTGTTGAAGCAGCACAACTGTGGGGCCACGATCCTCGTGAGGGATGTGCCACAGTGGCCTGGGGCCGCCGTGCGAACGCTGCCAGTGGGGCCTTTGGTGGAGCTCCCTGTGGGGCCCCGATCCTCGTGAGGGGAGTGCCGAAATGGCCCGAGGCCGCCATGCGAACGCTGCCACTGGGGCCTTCGGTGGAGCTCCCTGTGGGGCCACGATTCTCGTGAGGGGTGTGCCGAAATGGCCCGAGGCCGCCATGCGAACGCTGCCACTGGGGCCTTCGGTGGAGCTCCCTATGGGGCCACGATCCTCGTGAGGGGTGTGCCGAAATGGCCCGAGGCCGCCATGCGAACGCTGCCACTGGGGCCCTCGGTGGAGCTCGCTATGGGGCCACGATCCTCGTGAGAGGTGCGCCAAAATGGGGCGGGGCCACCATGCGAACGCTGCCACTGGGGCCTTCGGTGGAGCTCCGTATGGGGCCACGATCCTCGTGAGGGGTGCGCCAAAATGGGGCGGGGCCACCATGCGAACGCTGCCACTGGGGCCTTCGGTGGAGCTCCCTATGGGGCCACGATCCTCGTGAGGGGTGCGCCGAAATGAGGCGGGGCCGCCATGCGAACGCTGCCACTGGGGCCTTCGGTGGAGCTCGCTATGGGGCCACGATCCTCGTGAGGGGTGCGCCAAAATGGGTCGGGGCCGGCATGCGAACGCTGCCACTAGGGCCTTCGGTGGAGCTCCCTATGGGGCCACGATCCTTGCGAGGGGTGCGCCAAAATGGAGCGGGGCCACCATGCGAACGCTGCCACTGGGGCCTTCGGTGGAGCTCCCTATGGGGCCACGATTCTCGTGAGGGGTGCGCCAAAATGGGGCGGGGCCACCATGCGAACGCTGCCACTGGGGCCTTCGGTGGAGCTCCCTATGGGGCCACGATCCTCGTGAGGGGTGTGCCGAAATGGCCCGAGGCCGCCATGCGAACGCTGCCACTAGGGCCCTCGGTGGAGCTCCCTTTGGGGCCACGATCCTCGTGAGGGGTGTGCTCAAATGGGGCGGGGCCGCCATGCGAACGCAGCCACTGGAGCCTTCGGTGGAGCTCCCTATGGGGCCACGAAACGCTGTATTGGGTGGGTGAAATGCAGGGAGGAGGGGGAGGAGGGGGAGGAGAGGAGGAGGGGAGGAGAAGGAACGCGGGGCGACGTCTCTTCAAAACAAGGACCCAGCACCACAAGATGGTTGGGAAAAACAACCCTCCCCCACCCGACTGTGGGCCAACCCGGGACATGCCCCCCGCCGTTATCCCTGTCAAAAAACGATACAGAAAGCACTCTGCCTCCCAATTTCGAGTATGCGCGGGCGCCCCGCGACCACTCTGCATTGGTTTTTGGCAGGGACGGCGGGGGTGTCAGCATGCTGCTTGTTGCGAACAAGTTGCGCGCAAGCCGACCGTCCCTGACAAATTAGCCTGGCGGAGGACCCAAACATATGCAGTTGTGAGTGCCGCACTGGGGCCTTCGGTGGAGCTCCCTAAGGGGCCACGAACCCTGTGAGGGGTGCGCCGAAATAAAAGTGGAACTGCATGCGAACATATGCGAACGCTGCCACTGGGGCCTTCGGTGGATCTCCCTATGGGACCACGAACGTTTTGAGGGGTGCGCCGAAATAAGGGTGGAACTGCATGCGAACGCTGCCACTGGGGCCTTCGGTGGAGCTCCCTGTGGGGCCACGAACCCTGCGCCGGGTGCGCCGAAATGACAGCGGAACTGCATGCGAACGCTGCCACTGGAGCCTTCGGTGGAGCTCCCTATGGGGCCACGAACCCTGTGAGGGGTGCGCCGAAATGAAGGTGGAACTGCATGTGAACGCTGCCGCTGGGGCCTTCGGTGGAGCTCCTATTGGGCCACGAACGCTGTGAGGGGTGCACCGATAGAGGGTGGAACTGCATGCGAACTCTGCCACTGGGGACTTCGGTGGAGCTCCCCATGGGGCCACGAACCATGTGAGGGGTGCGCCGAAATGAGGGTGGAATTGCATGCGAACGCTGCCACTGGGGCCTTCGGTGGAGCTCCCCATGGGGCCACAAACCTTGTGCGGGGTGCGCTGAAATGAGGACAGAACTGCATGCGAACTCTGGCACTGGGGCCTTCGGTGGAGCTCCCTATGGGGCCACAGCCCCTGTGAGGGGTGCGCCGAAATGAGGGTGGAACTGCATGCGAACGCTGCCACTGGGGCCTTCAGTGGAGCTCCCTATGGGGCCACGAACCCTGTGCGGGGTGCGCCGAAATGAGGACGGAACTGCATGCGAACGCCTGCCACTGGGGCCTTCGTTGGAGCTCCTTTATGGGGCCACGAACCCTGTGAGGGGTGCGCCGTAATGAGGGCGGGGCCGCCCGCCATGCGAACGCTGCCACTGGGGCCTTCGGTGGAGCTCGCTATGAGGCCACGAACCCTGTGAGGGGTGCGCCGAACTGAGGGCGGAACTGCATGCGAACGCTGCCCCTGGGGCCTTCGGTGGAGCTCCCCATGGGGCCACGAACCCTGTGAGCGGTGCGCCGACATGAGGGTAGAATTGCATGCGACTGCTGCCACTGGGGCTTTCGGTGGAGCTCCCTATGGGGCCACGAACCCTGTGAGGGGTGCGCCGAAATGAGGATGGAACTGTATGCGAACGCTGCCACTGGGGCCCTCGGCGGAGCTCACTATGGGACCACGGACCCTGTGAGGGGTGCGCCAAAATGGGGCGGGGCCACCATGCGAACGCTGCCACTGGAGCCTTCGGTGGAGCTCCCTATGGGGCCACAAACCCTGTGAGGGGTGCGCCGAAATGACGGCGGAACTGCATGCGAACGCTGCCACTGGGGCCAACGGTGGTGCTACCTATTGGGCCACGAATCCTTTGAGGGGTGCGCCGAAATAAGGGTGAAACTGCATGCGAATGCTGCAACTGGGGCATTCGGAGGAGCTCCCTATTGGGCCACGAACCCTGTGCGGGGTGCGCCGAAATGAGGGTGGAACTGCATGCGAACGCTGCCACTGGGGCCTTCGGTGGAGCTCCCTTTGGGGCCACGAACCATGTGCGGGGTGCGTCGAAATGAGGACAGAACTGCATGCGAACTCTGGCACTGGGGCCTTCGGTGGAGCTCACTATGGGGCCACGAATCCTTTGAGGGGTGCGCCGAAATGAGGGTGGAACTGCATGCGAACGCTGCCACTGGGGCCTTCGGTGGCCACGAACCCTGTGCGGGGTGCGCCGAAATGAGGGTGGAACTGCATGCGAACGCTGCCACTGGGGCCTTCGGTGGAGCTCCCTATGGGGCCACGGACCATGTGCGGGGTGCGCCGAAATGAGGGTGGAACTGCATGCGAACGCTGCCACTGGAGCCTTCGGTGGAGCTCCCTATGGGGCCACGAAACGCTGTATTGGGTGGGTGAAATGCAGGGAGGAGGGGGAGGAGGGGGAGGAGAGGAGGAGGGGAGGAGAAGGAACGCGGGGCGACAACTTTTCAAAACGAGGACCCAACACCACAAGATGGTTAGGAAAAAAAACCCTCCCCCACCCGACTGTGGGCCAACCCGGGACATGCCCCCCCGCCGTTATCCCTGTCAA